TATTTATTTATTTATTTATTTATTTATACAATTCCTCCTCTTCACGCTGAATTACAACAGTTTGTTACAAGAAGAAATGGAGAAGGGCCAGATTTAGTTAAACTAATTACATACCCCTGAGTTAAATTACGTTTATTTTATGATAGAAAAGAGTCTAATAAAAAGTAGTAATATCTTGCAATAGCCAATGTTGCCCAAATTAGTAGTGAGCAAAACAATATTGGTAAAGTGCTCTTTTCAGTAGTTTTCTAGTTGACGTTTTACCTATAGATGAAGGAAGGTCATTTCAAAATGATATGGGTTTCTTCTCTGAGCTCCGCTTGGCGATAACCAGTGTTCCCCAACTCATTGCTCCCCCACCCCAACTACTGGCCTGAGAAAAATACTCTTCAAATATTCCATGCAAATAATTGAATATGGAATTATTACGAGTCTTGTTTTCAGTGTTAAAGTGAATCCATGATTGCACACTCTTTTCTCGCCAGGTCTTGATGGTGTCCAAGGACAAGCCAAAGGAATGGATTCAGGGTTGTACCAGTGCTCTCACGCAAGCCTCGACACTCTTCTCATCACCAGACACAGATAAAGCATTCGGCTTGTTTGACTCTTCTCTGTACTGTGACAAAATGGAAGGCTATGATGAAAATGGTGAGGATTACAAGGACAAGAACAAGGACCTTATCTTCAAGGATTGTAGCAGTTCCCTGGAGCTCATCCCTGAGGTAATTTTGTTGAATTGTCTTTCACTTCCTTTACAAAGGGCCGGTTTTCAAGGTAAATATATTATCTCAATGAAAGCAAAGTTATGCGAACAAGATGTCTAACTGTTAAGGATATAGCAGTAGGAATGAAAGTCTTATGTGGGAACGAATGAACTGCTCCAGTCAGTCTTTGCCTTTGAACAAATGTATGTCTGAGCTCGCCTTAAATTTGAAGTCATTTCTTAGACTTAGTTCTATATCTGTAGGATAAAAGAACATACAAGGAATTCCTTGGTGTAGACACGGTTGGTATTTGGAAGACCTGTGCAGAACTTAAATCCAAGCCACGCGCTTTCATGTGCGTCGTTGGAGACGAAGAAATGAAGAAATGCCAGGATATGATCAACAAATTCCAGACAGTCACCTGTGAGTCAGTCATTCTTCAGTACCTTGTTTAGTTGGATATTGTTTTGAGGAAATAAAAAGGAGCCTCTTTAGCGTTTTCATGGAATTTCCAATCACGAACACGAGAAAAGTTTCTATTAACAGCCAGATAGGTCGTAGCTGAATAGAAAGAGTTTCATGATCAGGTTTTCAAGCAAAACCACTTCCTTCACACGATAACGCTCAAGTCAACAATCACCCCCATAGAAGCCGTTTGTTCGGTCCATTCGGAAACTAAAAGAGTTTAGGCAGTAACGCGTCTCGCATAACCTGTCACTTTGTTTCACGTGTAAGGCAATCGTTGTCTCCCAGATCACGTGAAGTACCCCCGGACACGCTCGTGATACTCACGCTAACGAATAAACCCTATGCTCTTGGCTGTAGCTGACTTGAAAAGTTACTTAGAGTTGTTGAATTTACCGAGATATTTTTATTTCGCTCTCGAGCTTTCCGATTGAGAAAAAAATTATGATAGCATTACCTTTCGAAAAAGTGTTAGACATAATTGCATACTTACCACATCAATACTACCCCATAAATAATTCTTGCAGGATTAACCAATTTTAATGAGCTATTTCTGACTGACTTTCCTTTTGATAAAGTAACGATTTCTTTTAACAGACGCTAAAGAGATCTCCTGGGGTTGTGTTGAGGCCAGTGGCAAGAAAGAGTGCACGGAAATGGTAGCTAAAGGCTTAGCCGATATTGTCGACCTCAACTCCACGGACATGTTTTTGGCAGGACTGGATTATAATTTGATTCCTTTCATGGCAGAGAATTACAAGGGGTAAGAGTTTCGTTTTCAAACAAAACTTTCTAGCCTAGCTCCGGTTGCTGTGTTAGGAAAACCAAGACAGAATAATATGGCTGAATCATCGCAAAAGGGGAAAAAAAATGAGGAACAAAAGTACGTGCATCTTTCATTCAATAGAGGAATTGTTTAGAAACGAGAGCAATAATCTTTTCTTTCTTTTTCGCCATTTGGCTCACGTGACATATTCCGCGTTTTTCATAGCTCACCCGCTTCTCATTACTGAGTTCCCGAAAAGCGTTTTGTAAAATTTGAAAATTGATCTCATTTCTTCGCATATTAAAGTACTTCCCTTACATTTAAACAGGAAGGATCCTTGGACAAAAAGCATCACCATCGGCGTCATGCTTAAGGGCAAAACTGATCTATCAGAAGACATGCGCGGCTGGAAAATGTGTAACGCAGGCGTTGACAAGATCAGCGGTTTCCTTCACCCAATGGGATGGCTCTTGGCTAATGGCACAATACAACGATCTAGCTCACCTCTGAAATCGATCGGGTTAGTAGAAATTTTTTGATATCTTTGTAACCCAGTGACATTTTCCTTAAAAATCGAGGAATTACACTGTGATGATAATGTAATTTCTCCGTACGATATCAGAACATTTTGAACTAGACAGGTGGTGAAAATACTTAAAATGTCAGCCGTTAAGATTGTGTGGGAATACCAACACGACGTCTCAGAGCTAAATTCAGAGTTTCGCTGCTTTTGTCAGGGCTAAAAGAGTTCCAGCTGTTATTTGGATCGTCACGCAACGTTTCTCGAAGGCAAATGCGAAGGTTTACGTGACGACACATCACAGCAGATAATTGTAGTGACGCTAATGGTGCTACTTAGATCTTTAGGTTTCGGATGCTGTTGTCTTGTAGCTGTCGCGTGCTGCGCTAGGCTGACAAATCAATTAACTCATTTACAGAGAAACAATGCCGTGTGGATTTCATAACCCGTTGCTTTTATTTCATTGTCATATTCTCAGACAACACTTCGGTGAAAGTTGTGTACCTGGAATAAACACGATGGACCTGACCAAGTATCCTCTGTTGTCACGCACACTGGATTGGCGATCGATGCTCAAGGATAAGATCGTGACGTGGGAGGACAGGTATGAAGCTCCTCTGTGGCGCCAGTGGCAAGACAAGCAGAGCGGTATCAGTAACGGATACCACTCAATGTACGAACTGCAAGACTTCGAATCACCAGAGTTCCTTAAGCTGATCAAAATGATGACCTCAGATGACCCGCGTACGCACGCGTTCCGCACTCCATTGATGCAGGAAGTCTTTAAGTTGGTAAATATAATGCATCCTCTTTCAAACACTCTAGCTGTGAAACACTGTCCAGTATAGTACCACTAAACGTTCCATAGCATGGTTGTACATGGTTAAATAGAAAAAAAAAAAAGAAAAGGAAGGATTGGAACTACCAGGGCGGTCTAAAAAACACCCATGAACAGACCAATGGGTACTGAGGTTCAGTAACTCTAACCGACAGTCCTGCTACATAAGTTTATAGACTCAATATGAAACAAACAGTCAAAATCTCTCTCGATCGTCATGTTTTTGCCTTGTAATCAGCTTTAAATGTATGAGTTCCGCTCGACAACAAATACATTCATGCATAATAACTTACGAGTCACCCAGAGATCTTTTTCGTAAGAGAAAAAACGAGATGTGACACATGGCGGCTGTTTATATTCAGCGAATTTTATGGCAACGAAAACGTTGGTCAACAGACAGAAACGTAACCTCTGACTCAGTTTCGAAAAACTTAAAACATGAAAGTGAATTTCCCAGAAAACTGTGTCTTACGAACTTATAGACCATAGAAACTGCGTGGACGTGATGCGTCTACGACTTACTACTAGCATTACTTCTCTTGCACTTCAGGCAAGCAAAGACTTCAGCTGGGACAACTATGGTGGCTTGAAAGATTTCTACGATTTGGAGATGCCCAAGTGGAAGCTGTTTGGCTGGGTGTGGGAGAAACCAGAGGAGTGGACCGAGGACGAATGGCAATTGTTCGAGATGTGGGTCGAGGAGAAATGGAATCAAAAGGAGGACTGGGGAGCATACACTGACAAGTGGACCGATGACGATTGGGTGACATTTAAGACATGGATGGATTCTGAATACAAGGAGTATGTGAAAGATCATATGCCTCTCCATCAAGACATCTTCATCAGGTAAAAAAATAAATGTTTTTCCAGCACTGGGGTTTCTCTTGTAGAGCTAATGGTTTATGTCACGAAAATAAAGGATTTGATCAGCATGGAGAATATCGATCCGTGGATATGGAACTAAATTCGCGCACCTTCACGCACACACTAAAGTAATTTTAGGGAATCTTTGCTGTTAATTGCACACCAGGAAAAACATGCCCGTTGCTTCGAGCCCCAATGGTTTTAATCAATATTAGTCTGGATTAAGTTTTCAGATACGTGTCTCGAAGAGCATCATTATTCTTTATTATCATCATTTTTATTTTACCATCTATAGACTTTCCCTGCTCTGTGCTCGTTATTTCTGGCTTATGAATGAATGGACTAACCTTCAGTGGGACAACGTGGACATAAAACAATGCCGTGAAAAGATGTGTGAATCGTGTGCTGGTCTAGGCGATAAGAAATGCTCCATGGATCCCATCAGCGAAGAATACTACGGGTACGAAGGAGCCCTGAAGTGTCTCAAGAGGGACGATGGCGATGTAGCCTTCATTGATGGTTACACTTTTGAAGATACTATTGCAAAGAATGGCTACATAAAAGACGACTTCGTTCTCTTGTGTCCAGATGGAAAAACTGTGGACTTCACCGGACCTGATTCCTTTAAAGAATGTAACTTTGGACGCGTGCCATCCAACGCACTTGTCACGTGCAACATGCACGATGGTGTCTGGCGATGGAAGGTGACAAAAGCCTTACTTGAGGCTCAGAAAGTCCTGACCGTGCAGGGTGTGCCTGATGATGCCATATTAGGCAAGGACGTTGAGAGCTTGACACCAATACCGTTCGTCAACCAGACGTACCAGGTGTGGCTTGGCCCCATGTTCCTGCGTGCAATGGAGGGAGTCTTGCAACCACCAGGTAACCTTCTTATCTTGACTTCCTCACCTCTCCCCACCCTTGTCCTTGTTCCAACCCACGATAGAAATAATATGAGGCCCCGGATAAATCCTAGACAACGAAATGTTTGATCGTCTATTGACAGCGCTATGATACAGCGAAAGAGAAGAATTGTCATAAATTGAGAGATAAAAGGTTTTTTTTCCTCAAGTTGTTGTTGTCAAGGTAATCTTGGTGTAAACAGTTGCGCAGTACAGAATGTTATTGTTAAGAAGGGGAAGGTGGGGAAAGGGTAAGTTTAATCACAAAAGCACTAACTCAAAAGCCTGCCCGAGATTACAAATTATTTAATCTTTTGATTAAGAAATAAAACTAGTGAAGAGATCAACGGAAAAAAAAACATTGCAAAAGCGCTGAACAGGCTTTCAACTCTCCCTATACTTAGAAAATATTTTCCTTGCAGTTAAAGATAAAGGGTTTGAAGAGATGTCTGACCCCATTGTCGAATGTTTGGGCGATGAGTGCGATGACGAAGTAGAAGACCGTCCTCCTTGTGATGAATGCGAAGACGAGGACACCTTGTGCTTGGAGAACTGCTGGAGTGAGGAACTACCAGAGATAACCACACCCAAAGGCAAAGGGCGCCAGAAGTCCAAGAAGATTGATGGCCAAGGACTGGTGAATGGTCGCCAGGACCATCGAGATGGTAAAAAGCAAATGACGCACAAGAAAATGATGATGATGATGATGAAGAAAAAGATGCAAGGGAAACCAGGAGCACGAAAAATGCTTAAAATGATGAAACCTGGCATGAAGAAAATGAAGCTAATGAAACGCCGAGGAATGCGACCCATGGGAGCAATGATGGGTCATCAGCGCCATATGGGACCAATGAAGTATGGAATGAAACCTATGATGGGACCAATGAAGTACGGTATGAAGCCCATGATGGGACCAATGAAGTATGGAATGAAGCCTATGATGTATGATATAAAACACGGCATGGGCAAGATGAACTATATGATGCGCAAGAAGATGATGGCGATGGGCCAAGGAAAGTTGATGATGACGATGAAATATCCAATGATGGGTCAAAACATAATGATAGAAAAAATGATGAAAGGCTACAAAATGATGAACTATCGCATGGAAACTGGACCTATTATGCACAACGACAAAACTCTTCGGGGCGAGTTCTACACGAAGGTGCTCTTTGTGCGTGATGGCACATGTAACGCAATCGTCCGTGACCTCAGCTGCTTCGGAAAGCAGAAGAACGTTAGAATGCTATCTGGACGTGTTGGCAAAACTCCCATCTCTGTTCCGATGTGCCCTCGACCCACCATCATGAAAAAGACCACCGCCCAGTTTACATGCGACACTGGTGCTAGCTTCCTGAAGCCCGTTTTTGTCCCCATGAAGTGCTCTTACGCTCCCTGCAATCCCGGCTTCTGGCTCCCTGATTGGTCCAACGATCAGTACTGGAACGGAGACAATTCGTATCCCGAAGATTACTGGGGAAGCAAGGACTGGTGGAAATTCGAGGAGCGAGATGGAAACGAGAATTGGTTTCTTGCAAATGGCGACCGAAATCGCGTGGGAAAGGACTGAAACCAGGCGAAAGGTTTGTGACGTGGACAGAATAAAGTAGCTGTACCACTTTTTCCGTCACGAGTGAAATCTTACGTTTAACCGCATATATTCAACTACTGGATTTGGAAATATTGTAGATGTAATGGGATTATAGTTTCGGGGCTTTAAAAAATACAGAGCTTTTTACGAATTTTTTTTTTTTTTTTTTTTTTGTTTTTTTTGCCATGTTAACCGCGAAATTTCATTGTGATATTCTTTAAATGATGTTAACATATGTTAGGACTGGAGTAGTTTTCATAAAAAAACTTTTCGCAAAATTCTTCATTTATAATTTGACACAATGTTGTAGTTTTTTTAGTCAGCATTTTTCCGCAATAAAGAAGCATTTTAAAATGATCATTGCTAGTGTTGTTTAACAGAAAACGAACGAACGATGATTGATGGACGAAACTGGGAGGAACGACTGATGCTCTGCTTCCTACAGTTTCAGCCCTTGATTTCTTTGAAAAATAGAACTCCTTAGATTTGCCCTTTTGACTTTACAATTTTTCAGCGGAATGTGTTTCTGGACAAGACCTTATTCTAAAGAAGGGTCTATTTCGTAGTTCCCTTTCAAAAGAACCCGTAATTCCGACTGAAAGGGTGAATGCTTTTTAATAAAAACGAGATTAAACTAAACCAGCTCCAAAACACTGAAATACGGACATTAGGAAAAGCGAATGTTTAGCCAGAAATTCAATACCTTTAAGAACACGCGCTGAACGCTTAAGACCCCGTGTTTAATTGTTTTTAAAACAAATGTATGCCAACATTTCTTTACGTTTTGGAATTTAGTCAGTACAGCAGGAGAATGAAGGTATTTTTTTTTCGAATCATCTCAAATAGTTTTATCCAGGTTGGCAGCTTCAAAATTATGCACCTTGCACAGTCACAGTTTGAATTGTATTAAGGAAAATGGATGGTGGACAAACACGGCGGATGGAGTGATTTATGACAAAGGTCATTTATTCGATTACCCCGACTTCAACTGACGCCCTATTAGGGGTTTTCGGGATACAGGATATTGTAAGGTAAAAAATTTATTTAGAACAGATATCCCGCAATTTTGAGTAGGAAACTTGTTTGTGTTTGAGCCATTAAGGGATACTGGATATTGGGCCAAAAATTACCCCTTCCGGCCCGCCTAAATTTTGGCCTCTGAACTGGCAGCATATGTTCCTCATAGGAGGTCGAAATTTAAAAAAACAATATGAGTGCTGCTTAGCGTGTTCGTCCTTCTATACTATTCCCAAGTAGACCTTTAACAACAGCGATAATAGCCATTGGGAAAACTTGATATTTGTACGTTTCCAAATTAACCTATAGTAATTTGGACAGTTCCAAGAGCAGAATTAGACCAACACTACTATTATTTCACCCTAATCCAATTTGGAAATAATTGAATGTAAAAAATCCCTGCTACTGCAATTTTGGCAAGCTTCGGAATTTTCTTCATCGAAATATTTCCAAATTCAAAGAAAATGTACAGTTCCAATACATATACTAAATGTATGTGAAATTAATGTACCTGTTTGAAGTTTGGCACTCAGCTCTGGCGAAGCCACAAAGGCAAACAGAGTTTCCTTTCACGCCCCAAATACTCAACCGGCTATAGTTGAAACATCTAAACCCAGGATAAAAGAAGAGGAGGTTATATAGCATAGCGTTAATGATTAAGATTAGGATTAGCTGAGCAATTGAGAATTGAGATGTTCTAACTGCAGGCGTTTGAATCGTATGTTGAAATCCCGACCCCGGGCTAAAATTTTGTTTATTATTCATCGAGACATATCGAGACAAATTAGTTTGTCAACCGGCGAACAAGTCCAAATGATGACTGACATTTTTAACACGACGACACAAGATCGAAGTCATCCCAATGCGACTTGTTCCCTCTGACTAAATAAATTGATGCTACATAACTAAATCCTTCTCTCAATAAGAATGCCAAAGTTCAACAATCTTTAAGTCTACCGAACACAAACTAAGCGCACGAAATTAATGTACCCATTCCGCGATGGGAGCCAAAATGTTCTACTAAATTGATTAATCCAACTGCAATGCGGTTAGCATGCACGACGAGACTTCCGTATTGCGAGCTTGCGCTCTAATTATTGATGATGTGTTTTTCTTTAAAGGTGCTATCTCACAGATGGCACATCTTTAAAATTATTTTCGTCTAATTTTTTTAAGTTTGTCAATTACAATCCATTTCATGTCAATCTTTCTCAGTCGCACTTCTTGGTTTTTAACACCTCTCGGTTATTTTTCTGCTTTGTTTGTTTGTCTATTCCTTTAGACTCCTCGGATGGTTGGAGCAAAGGGCCTCTATAATGCTATCTTTGCATACTATTACTTTTAGGCCTCCTCAAGATTGAAGGCATTCTTGTACATTACGGGAAAAGGCCCTTTTCGCGGTGACGTAGCTCCTCTGTTAAGTCATCTTTATAGTTTGGTTCGAGAACGCGTGGCTAACTTACATTATACTATGAA